TAAAAGAAGTTTCTAAAATAAATTAATATAATTTAATTAATTAGTAGCTCAAAACATCAAAAAAGAAAAAAAGGAAAAGTTCTTCATTGCCTCGGGCTGTCTTGTCACAGAATACTTTGCTCATATGTTGGTCTTGCACGGGGTAAAGGGGTTGCTGCCCAGGCACTGACCACCAGAGTCAGATGGGGAGCATCTTAGTTACTCTTCTCATTGCTGAGACAAAATACCCAATGCTCAAGGTTAAAGGGGAAAAGCTCTATTTAGCTTAGCATTTATAGAGGTTTCAGTCTAGTCACTTGGCTCCAAGGCAGCGTGGCACAGGGGCAGCAGTTCATGGCAGAGGAAGACAGGAAAAGCAACAAGGAGGGTTGGAACAAGTCCCTCTCTGTCCCTTACACTGTATGCAGGTGGAAGTAGCACTCACACCCTTAATCTCAGCACTGGACCATGAATCAGTCACAGCCTCTAGGTTTGGCCACCACTGGAAAGCTCTGCCCCATGACTGCATGAGGCTTTGGGAGGACACACAGACACATAACAGGGAGAAAACACACTTTACCTGGTTGTGTTGAAAGACTGCAGCCACATGAAGTTAGGAAATCAGGCACCAGACCTGGTCTTAGCACTCTGCTTCAGTGTGACTGCCGCGCTCAGTATTCTGGGAGACTTTATATAGGTGTTTTAGGATTTTCCCCATGTGCACTCATGCCATTGGAAAATAGCTTCATTTCTTCCTTCTGGCCTGTGTATTTGTTTTCACGCCTTCCCATAGTGGTCAGACTTGCAGCGCTGTGTACAGTAAGAGCAATGAGAGCAGATGTCCCCTCGTTGTTCCTGATCTCAAAGCAAAAGTCTGTTGTTTTTCTCCATTAACTATAACTCAGGTTACTTGTGGGATTTTTATAAATGCTCTTTTACAAAAGCAAAAGTAATTTCTTCTATTCCTAACTTGCAGAGAGGTTGTTTTTAAACTCATTAATAAGGATTGGATTTTGTCAAATGACTTTTCTGTGTCAAATTATATAATTTTATCATTTAAATGTTTGACTAAATTCTCCAGTGAAACAGTCTTAGTGTGGAGATTTCTTTTTGAATGTTGAAATTAAAAGTTCAATTCTTTTAATGGTGACATGGATAAATTGTTTATATCATCTTTGTTGAGTGCTGGTAGCTTGTGGTTTTTAAAGGCTTGGACCTTTTCTGTCAAATTGAGAACATAAACTTGTTTTGTGGTTAGCATTCTCTTACTACTTTTTTAATGACTGCAGTATTTTGTGCATGGTTTCTCTTAGTTATGTGAACATATTTAAAATAGTGGATTTAAAGTCTTTGGGCAGTGCATCCAAGGTCTGGGCTTTCCGGGAACCATACTGTTTCTTCTATTTCCTAGAAAGAGCTGAACTAGAATGTCTCAAAGTTGTAATTTTCATAGTATTTTTCTTTTTCTTTTTGATTTAGGAAGCAGAAACTCAATATGAAGAGCAGATTGGTAAAATTATTGTAGAATCACAAGAACTTAAATGGCAAAAGGTAAGTATTCTCCCTGCTCAAATTAATGTTCTAAACATCTATTAAAAATACATTGGGGCCGGGGAGATGGCTCAGTGGAATAAGTGCTTCCCTGGCAAGCACAAGGGCCTGAGTTCAATCCTCAGTTCCACCCAATAAAAATAAATAAATAAATAAATAAATAAATAAAAATAAAAATACATTAAAATCCTTACTAGAAATTTATTTTGGCAGTACTGGAATTGATTCTGGTGGGTCTGTCTTCCACAATACTATACCCTCATCCCTTTTTATTTTGCAACAGGGTCTCACTAAATTGCCCACATTGGCCTCAAACTTGGGATCTTCCTGCTTTAACCTCCCAAGTAGTTGGGACTATGGGCATGCAACACTGTGTCTTGTTTTAAATTTCCTACAGTTGTTGGACATCCGTGCCTTATCTGAAACAAGGCCCCAAGAAAATTTCAGCTAAAACTGTTCATGATATTTAGGCTTACAGAAAACTGGGAATAAAAATGTTGTTTAGACATCCTGATATTGTAGAACTGAGGATAACTCTGAAAATGTCTGTGTTAATTTACATCCAAGAAATACACTATGTATTATGGGAATGAGGGCATCTCATAAAGAGTGAAGACTCAAATTAGTAATGTATATTCCTAGAGTATCATTACATAATGTAACCAGAGTGACAGTATATTCCAGCTCTGATTTTCTGTGTAGCTTTGTCTGCATTGAAGCACTTTTGATGGTGATGCAGGGGAAAGAAACTCCCAACCCGTTAGATGTCTTGTAGAGTTTGTATTCTCTAAAATTGAAGAATGAATTTTAGGAACATGGGACATTAAGAGAAGAATATATTTATTGAGGGAAAGAAAGCTTCTGTCTGAGAGAGAGAAGGGGTCCTGAGTGGGTTGTCAAGGGCCCTGCCTTTTCTAGGAATTTTATAGAGCTAAACCACGAAGTGAGGTGGGTCCAAAGTGGAGAAAAGTAGGAACTCGCAATGTGGGTATGAGGTGGGACAAAACTATTGTGAACCAATAAGGTTACAAGTATGATTGCTTGGGTAAAATTGATTAAATTGGGATCAAATGGGGAAGCAAGTTGCTTCGCAAGAGGGCATGAATACAGAACAGGGGCTCTTCCTGCGGGGCGGTTGGGTTAGTGACTCTTCCTGGCTTTCTCAAGGTGCTAGAGACCTATTTTTTATTCTTTTTTGTTGCTCTTGTTCATATTTTAAATTTTTTCATTAACTTTATTGAGAAAGAAATAGCAGTGAGACAGTTTCAAAACAGGTTTGTAGGACAGTTACAATAATTAATACATTATATACTGTCTTCATAGTAGTTATTCATAGTACAAGATGCAGACATGATATCTTTTTTTTATTTATTTATTTTTCTTTTCAAAGTTTTATTGATAAACATATAGCAATGAGACAGTTTCAAATCAAATCGAAAGTACAGTTTCAACAAATAATACACTGCATACATTCTTCTCAGTGGTTAATTGCTGTACAAGACGCAGACTTGTGATCCTACTTACAAACACCATTAGAAAAAATCATTCTATTCATTAAGAGAATGCAACTATATATCTATCCCATCCACTTTGAATACACAGATACAAAATGGACATTCATAGTTATACCCCAATTTTTTTTAAGTTCCGTTGTTGAATATTATAGGTGTGTAAACTCAGCAAAATATTCTAAAAGAGTCCAGTAGCCCATAATAGCATTGGGTCTTCTGTTTAACTGGCAATGTCGGAAATTATTGACCTGAGTCCAGACATGATATGTTGTCTAAACACTTAGTATAAATCTTTCTTTCATTCAACTAAGAGAAAGCAGCTGTATATCTATCCTATTTTGTATATATATATATTTTTTCCACTACAAAATGGACCTTCATTTATATCCCTCTTTTTTGTGTGGTTTTGTCTGAGATGGGTATTCCATTGCCATTTAAATATTGTAGGTGCGTGAATTCGGCAAAATTATCCAATATAGTCCAGTAGTCTATAATAATAGTGGGTTATCCACAGAACTGGCAATGTCAGAAGTTGTTGACTTGAGCCTTTTACAACTCAGCATATTAATATGGCTTTACTTTTTATACCTCGTTTTTATACTTTTCTGCTGGATGGTTAAGACCAAGATAAAGCAAGACCTATATAACAAAAAATGTAACTTTTGTATCTGACAAGGTCAGTCAAATCCCTTCAGAATTTACCCTGAAAGCATGTGCAGCAGTTTGTAGATCTTTTGTTAGTGTCAGCCATGTAGATGAGCCATGACCATTGCCTGACCAATTTGCTCTCTGTGAAAGCTTTGGCTGTTCTGTAGAGAAGATTCTAGACAGAGCTCAGACCAGAAGACTGATAGAAAACCTGCCTGTAAAGACCAGGCTGGGGAAGTTTCAGCTGGGAAGAAGAACTGCATTGGTTGTTCAACTCCAGATCATTTGTGTTTTGACTTGGCAGAACATTTGTCTGAATTTTGCCCCTGTCCAGACACTTTGCCTGAGACTGAGATTAAACATGGAGGACTGATTGATCTTTCAAAGGAAATCTCAAAGCAGTCAAATATTGGGGCAGTGGCATGCTTGTTATTGGGGGCTTTCAGTCAGATTTATGATGAGAATCAAGTGCAAAGAGTTCAGCAGGATGATATAAAATGTTGTGAGTCTGGCCAGAAAGGAAGCTCCAATAAAGCTGTGGAATGCAAAAATAGAGCTGAGAGGATCTCCATTGCCAAGAAGAAACAAGAGAATGGAAAGGATGGCCTGAAGCATCACAGGAGGTGGCATGTTCTCACCCTTTGCAGCCTGAGAACCCCAAACATAAGGGACCTTGCTTTGAGGTGAAAGCTACAGAGCCCCATGTTCCAGAATGGAAGCATCAGCCACACCAGGTTCCACAATGGAGGCTGTGGCCACACCAGATTACAGAATGGCACCAGCATAGAGAATTTGTTTCTCGGAAACAGAGTGCTCAGCAATCCAGGCACTCAACCTCTACACCAAAGCCTGGCTATTGCTCCAGCTGGCAGCAGACCTTGGCATCATCCACATGGCGCTGTTTTGAGTGCATGCAGAATGCAGGAATTCTGAAGTTAAAAAGGCTTTCACCCAGATTTTAGAAGAAGGCCTGGGAGGCCAGGCAGTGTGCCCTTGAGAGGGCAGTGTGTGAAGCTGTGAATGAGAAGCCTATTCCGTGGAAACCCCAGAAATCTGGAAAATCCAGGAATGTGGATCATCTAAGGGAAACTGCAAAGTGGGAGCAAAGCCAGCCTAGGAGAGAAGCCGTGGGAACAACCACGAGAAGTGCCCTCGGAGCAGAGCCGTATGGAGCTCACAATTTGCCACAGATTGCTTCAGATGTTCCACATGAACCTATAGGACTTAATGTTTGCCCTGTTGCATTTTGGACTTGTGTTGGCCCCGATGGTTTGTATCCTTCTGTGTATACCTTCTGAAATGGCAGCGTTTATCTTTTGCCTTTGGTTTTTTTTTTGTTTTGTTTTGTTTTGTTTTGTTTTGTTTTGTTGTTTTTTTTTTTTTTTTTAGAACCGGGGATTGAACTCAGGCCCTTGCGCTTGCCAGGCAAGCGCTTATTCTACTGAGCTATCTCTCCGGCCCCTATCTTTTGCCTTTGAATGTTGGATATATTTAACTGTTCATTTGTGTAAGGGCTCACAGTTGGGAGTTTGCCTTGGATCTTGGAGGAGACTTTGGACTTGGACTTTTCAGCAATGCTGAAACTGTTGGGAATTTAGCAACTCTTAGAGATGAACTAAAATGCTTTTTGGACAAAGGGATGTGCATGAGACTTTGGGGGTCCAGGGAGGGAATGTTAAGTTTTGTGTCTAGTTGTCACCCCAAAGCGTCATGCAAATTATGGGGCAGATATGGCTGTAGGAGCAGCGTGTAGCTCAAGGGATGGAGCCAGAGGACCAGGGTGGGGCTTGAGGTGCGAGTCCAGAGAGGCATGGACCAGTAAACTGACAGCATGCACCCCCACTTTCCCCCCAGGTCCCCCAGGGCTGGTGGCCTGAGGTATGGAGCAGATCATCCTGGATACAGTGACACCCCAGCCTCTCTTCCAGACCCTGTAGTGTGGGATGGCAGTGTCTCAAGGTCTTGCTATGTAATTCAGGCTGCTTTAAACTATGAAACCTCCAGTAACTTTGACCTAAATAACCTTTTCCTTCCCTAAGCTTGAGTGTCAGGTATTTGTCCAAGCAACGAAAGAAAAGTAACTAAGACAGGCACGTAGAGAGCCAGTTTTTCCAGCAGCGTTTCTTGAAGAGGCTATCTTTGTTCCAGTAAGCATGTTTTGCCTCTTTGTCAAAGATAGTTAGCTGAGTGTATTTGTCGTTGCTTCTGTATCCTCTAATCTATTCCATTGATCCTCAGGTCTATTTTTTTTTTTTTTTTTTTTTGCCAGTACCAGGCTGATTTTATCACAGTAGCTTTGTAGTATAATTTCAAGTCAGGAAGGTAATACCTCCTGGCTTGTCTTTGTTGCCCAGGATTGCCTTTGCTATTCTAGGTTTTTATGGTTCCAAATAAACTTTAGGAATGATTTCTCTAGTTCTGTGAGGTATCTTGGTGGAGATAGGGATTGCATTAAATTTGTATAACAAATGTGGGTGGATGGCCATCTTCACAATGTTGGCTCTTTCTATCCAGGAGCAGGGAATATCTTTCCACTTTCTGAAATCCTCTACAATCTCTTTGAGAGTACTGTAATTTTCATTGAATAGATCGTTTACTTCTTTAGTTATATTAATTCCTAAGTATTTCATTTTCCATGGTGCTATTGTAAAAGGTATTGTTTCTCTAATATTCCTATCAGTGTGTTTGTTATTTGTGTAGAGGAATGCTATTGAATTTTGAGTATTGATTTTGTATCCTGCTATGCTACTGAATTTTTGTATTAATTCTAGTAGTTTGTTGGTGGAGTTTTTTGGGTCCTCCAAATAGAATATCATGTCATCTGCAAATAATGACAGTTTA